GGGGGGGTGGGCCGGCGGGTCCCCGTCACCACGTCGCCCAGGCTGGAGCTGGAGTTGTCCCCCGATTTGCTGGACGGGGAGAAGCACAGAGAGGGAGAGGGGGGTGAGGGTGGGATGGGGGGGTCTTGTGGGAAGCCGGGGGGGGGTCACGGATGAGCCCCACCTCGAGCTCAGGCGGTTCTGCCTCATCTTCTGCTCCTGCAGCAGCCGCATGTTCTCCAGCTTGACGGGGCTGGGGATGAAGCCCACCTCGCAGCCCTCCTTCACCAGCCGCCCGATCCACCAGTCGTTGTTGTACTTCTGCGTCAGGGAGAGGGGAAAAAAAACCATCTGAAATCCCCAAACACCTACCCCCGGGGGCTTCCACCCCCAGAGTGACCCCGTACCCTCCCTTCCAGCCCCCTCCCCAGCCCACTCCCCACCTCCTTGATGTGCAGGAAGTCTTTGGGCTCAAAGCAGATGGCCATGCCCTGCACTGGCATGTCGTCGCTGGCCGAGGGGTTGTAGCCGACGTTCGTCCTCACGGCAAAGGCCACCGGCTTCGTCGTGGGTCTTGAAGATCTCCAAGGAAGGGGACTCCACACCCTCCCTGGGCAGCCTGTTCCAGGGCTCTGTCACCCTCACTGGGAAGAAGTTTCTCCTCATATTTGAGTGGAACCTCTTCTGTTCCAACTTGTGCCCGTTGCCCCTCGTCCTCTCCCTGGGAACCACTGAAAAGAGTCTGGCTCCCTCCTCCTTCAACCCTCCCTTGAGATCCTTGTCAGCATTGATAAGGTCTCCCCTCAGCCTTCTCTTCTCCAGACTAAAGCTCCAGCTCTCTCAGTCTCTCCTCATAAGGGAGATGCTGGTGGAAGTGGCTGGGAAGTAGGGCTGGATCAGCCCTACAGGGCACCACCAGAGCGAGTGGCCACAACACCCTGGGAGCTAACGAGAAGCTCATTAGCTAATTGCCCTGGACCCATAGCTAAGGCACAACGGGTGCTCAGCCAAGGTGAGAACCCAGGCGTCCGAGCTCCCAGTTCAACCCAGTAGACCCCATCTCTCAGTCTCTCCTCATAAGGGAGATGCTGGTGGAAGTGGCTGGGAAGTAGGGCTGGATCAGCCCTACAGGGCACCACCAGAGCGAGTGGCCACAACACCCTGGGAGCTAACGAGAAGCTCATTAGCTAATTGCCCTGGACCCATAGCTAAGGCACAACGGGTGCTCAGCCAAGGTGAGAACCCAGGCGTCCGAGCTCCCAGTTCAACCCAGTAGACCCCATTGCCTTCCCAGTGCCACCCAGTGATGCTGAGACCACGGCTTCAGGGGACGGGATGCCACGGGGATGGAGAGCAGTGGGGGGGTCCCTGTGCCGGGGGTCAGCCCCTTCCCACAGCGGGTCCCAGGGGGTGCGGAGGGGCCGGGTGGGTGACGGGGGTACCCAGGGAGGGGAGGGCAGGCGGGGGGGTCTCCAGCCCAGCCTTCCCACCTTGGCTTTCTCCAGCTGTGCCATGGCCTGGCGCTCGGCCTCCTTGCGCAGCGCCTCCCGGTCCTCCTCCAGCGACACGTCCGAGTCCGAGGGGCGGCTGGTGTAGGACTCTGCCGAGCCCTGTGGGAGCAGGGAGAGGGGTCAGCCCCCACT